ATATTTAGAAAACTTGAAATATAGGATCAAAGTGTATTTTATTCTATTTTGTCAAGAATTTCTTACCGGAGTTTGATATGGAAAAATAGAGCAAACAACAGGAAAATTATATCTGATTTTTTAAAAAATTAATGAGTCCAGTATGCAAATCTAAAAATCAGTGAGGAAACCCCCTTCAACAATTCATCTTGCATTCTATATGCAAGATATTTTTATCATGACATCTTGTAATCAATCAAACATTTCGGTATAGATCAGTGTAATCTTCTAATCGGTGTTAAATTTAATCGCGTCATTTTACATGCATAAACATTTCTCTTAAGAACTGAGAGGGTGGTAGGGGGCATGCATCCCCCCTCCCCAATAATTATGCCGATATATTATACACCTATTTACTGGCTATGAGGACATAGCAAGTTTATTGTCCCCCAAGGCAGCACCTACTGTAAACCAACTTTTATTCGCGACGACTTTATTTCGCGATTTACCGAGGGTAAACTAGTTCGCGACGATTAATTTTCGCGATCAAGTCTTTTTTGATCTGTTGTTAATCGAAAGAGAGACTTTAAGGACCGTTCCGCGGCGAGAAATATTCGCGATGACGAGGCTCTCGCGAACCTCGCGAAAATTTCTCGCACGCGAATAAAAGTTGGTTTACAGTATTTCCCGAGGCGCTTTATTCTTTACTTGTGTCATGTCACGATCGGATAAACCCAGAAAAGTTCCGAAATGAAAAGCGAGGGAAATCGAATCGTTCGATAATTATTTCACCATGGGCAAATAGCACAAAAACAATTTGACAGTAGAGGCTGTGTAGAAAAATATAGCAGGTTTATTAGTCATATTTTTATATAGAAAAAAATTCACAGAGGTATAATATAGCAATAATATAGCATACTATAGAAGACAAAGCAACTTTATGTGTGTACCCTCTTATTCATTCCGTCTGATATTTTTTTTGTCCCCACCCCAATTAAAAATGTTTTGTCCCCACCCAAATAAAATTGCTACTCACTGACCTGTAATTAATAATTAGTTGGGACTAAACATCATTTTCCCGAACGCAATAAATTAAGCTGGGATTCGACCTTCTAAATAAAAATCTTGAGAACTCAAGTTAGAAAAAGCCTAGTGCATAGCAATGCTGGAATGAATCAGGTTTTTGAGCTCCTTGGCTTATTGGAAAATTGTTGCATCTTAAATGACTGTTAATTACGTAGGCGAATCCTGAAACTTTTGAGTGTCTTTGCCATTTTCTTCTTCTTTCAGAAGGTTGCTTGATTGTCCTATTTAGAAATGTTTCAGATTATGTCGTGAAGGACAATCTGTTGACATAAACTTTTAAAGATATTCCATCCAAATAATCAATGTTTAAAGAATTCTTGCGACGATTTTGCACATAAAAAATGCATCAAAAATAGATTGATTTGGTCAAAATGGCATGTAAACAGATACGTACACGGGGGTTTAGAAGTAAATAACGTTAATATTGTAACTGATTTATTAAGAATTAAAGTTTGTTAACCCGCTATGGCTGCTTTATTTTCATCAGTTTAACATCTTAAGGCAGATAATCTGTTGTTCGCTAATCCTGGTCGGTCTTTCCTCTGTCAATATCTCACTACGCTACTGATAGTAGTCACGTGATACCATCGTGGTAGTGTACTTCTTGTCATTAAATATTCTGACGTATATATACAATGATAAATATCGGTGGCTTTGATAATTTATGAAAATTGCATTTTCCAAAAAAGTCTAAATTCCCGAGAAATGAATTAAGTGCTTCCTTACCATCCCCGCGAGTCATCTAAAATTTGATAAAAGGTAGATAATTTCTGACGGAAGTGATTTTCCAAAAACGGAACTGCCGGAATCAACTTCAGATAAAAACACATCAAATCTGAAAATTTGAAGGACATTGAACGAGCAATCTCCGAGAAATCTTCTGCACAAAATTTGTTAAGAATAAAAAAAAAATAAAATAAATCTATATATATATATATATATATATATATATATATATATATATATATATATATATATATATATATATATATATATATATATATATATATATATATATATATGTAATGATTACGGAATTTTAAGGCACGACCATGCAGATTTCTCAGTTAGTCACTGTTGACATCACGTGACATTAGTAGGGTATATATACCGAAACTTCTCAGTCGTCTGTTGTTATTGTGAAGACCAAGCCGAACGGTGAAGACGAGTGTAAGTGTAGTAGTTACGGTTATTAATTCCTCGCCTGTGTTACAGTTTGAGAGTGAATTTGGAAGGCCATTTGAGGTTTGACAAACCAGATATAAGGCCTGCCACGAAGAGGTTGTCCTCCAGTAAAGAGGCTAGCCATAAAGTTAGTTCTTCTGCATTGGCTGACCAGTCCGTCGTCCAGGCTGCTATACTCATTGTCCGTCCTGAATAAGGCATCCTACAGTGAGTGTAGTGGTTGAAGGGCTATCACATATACTGTCCGTCCTGAATAAGGCAACCTACAGTATATGGGGTAGTCTGAGGGCGACTGGGCTCTATTTTAATTAGTGTTAGGGTAGGACTACCATTGCTTGCCTCCGATTGTTATATTGATTTACCATTTGATTATTATTTTACCTAGATAAGGTTAGGACATATTTGTATATTTCGGCAATCCACTTAAATCATACCAATCAGTTTTTAATCAGTTATTGTTGAACACTCCAAACCCTGGAATTGACCAGGTACGACCCCTGTGTTTAATGTAAATACGTTACAAAAATATGGTGGCAGCGTCGGAATTTGGGGTTGCATTCAATCATTAAAGTTTATATATGTTATCTTTTTGTCTTTGTTGATTTTTGACGAGTAATTTATTTTTGAAAATTATTGATATGTCTGAGAGTGTAATGAATGCTGAGATGACTGCCTTAGAGCAGGAAATAAGTAGGATTCAGGCTAGTATTAATAAAGGTCAAGCAAGGACAGTCGCCAGAGATTCAGGACTGCCTGAAAGTAGGCGGACTACCATTGATGACCAAGATTACACGAGTGAGGGCGCAAGACCAAAAACTGTTAGGACGAGCACCCTACCAAACATGTATACTAGGCCTGACAATCTTAGCGATTTAAGAAGAAGTGATAACGGCGAGCCAGATAGGTCCAGACACGGTTTCCCTTTGTTGAATGAGACAAACATTACAACACGCCGCCCTGAGAATATCACACAGGCAGACAAACGGAAAAACGCCATAGTGAAACCAGATAAATTTGATGGAAGTTCGTCATGGGCTGATTTTAAGTCTCACTTTGATGTCTGTGCAGAACTGAACAGATGGACTCTGGCTGAGAGGGGGATGTACTTTGCCGTTGCTTTGAGAGGTCAAGCACAGAGTGTGCTTGGAAATCTACCAGCGGTAGACAGATGCAACTACAGACTCTTACGTAAAGCATTTGAAGAGAGATTTTTGCCGTCCAATCAGACAGAATTATATAGGGCTCAGTTGAGGGAAAGAAGGCAAAAGCTACAGATACATTACCAGAACTTGGACAGGACATGCGTCGACTGGCAAACTTGGCCTACCCAAACGCATTTACATTTTAAAAGTAGAGTTTGGACAAAGTTTGGTTACATGTCCATCTATAGATGCTCGAGATGGCTTATATGATCATCTTATTTCTGTCTTTTATACAAGTAAATATCTGCATTATTGTTGAGGGAAAAAAAACAAACCAAAGTATCAAACAAATTGGACATAATTATAGTTAGAAATAAAAGGATTCAGTAGAGAATAGTTATATATGTGATTGACCATATTGATATAAGCAATGAACCTTTCAATTAAACTGCCAATTGTTAGTTTTTTTTTTTTTTTTTTTTTTTTTTTTTTTTTTTTTTTTTAACTAGAATTAACACAGCATTGAAAGTTCACTATTGTTATTACTCAAGTTGACCCAGCTTAAATACACCTGTGTTTTATTATTATTATTTATTTTTTTTAATCAAAGTTGCGATTTTTCACATACACATCACAAAAGTACATTTGATAAAAAAAAATTCACTTGCATATTTTAAAGATTTACATTGAAAAAGAAATTCCCTCTCTCTCTCTCTCTCTCTCTCTCTTTCATATATATATATATATATATATATATATATATATATATATATATATATATATATATATATATATATATATATATATATATATATAGCCACACAAGGCAAATTGCTAAGCTGCTAAAGTATTTTGAAATGACTATTGAATATAGCTAGCATGAGAGGATTCACTCTCTGCATAATCAATGGACCTTGTTATAAACATTTCTGAAGGCAATAAAAAAAGATATAGCTATATATATAGCATATAAACAAAGTTGCACACTGAAATATATTCACTGAATATCATCAAAGACCATGATTTTACGCACTTTTTTTAATCATTGTAATCATAAAGTACTCAAAAAGAAATCATGATTACAAGACTTTTCAGATTAATCGATTAAATTACAATTACTTGTAATCAGAAAAACAGATGATTACTGATTACTCATAATTACAATGCAAACTGTAATCGATTACAGCTACCCCATCCCTGATATATAAGTGAAAAGAAGAAACAATAGAATAATAGAAGGGTCTTCCGCTAAAGACGAAAGACCCTAAAAAGAATGTTAAGAATAATCTTAACCAACACAATCAGCAGATCTTCTCTTGCAAAGGAAGACCTTAATAATACTAGCTTGAATTCAGCATTTTGATCATATATTCTTGTTTATAATGTATGTCTTTCACACTGCAGTCTTCGAGCAAATAAAACACTTATTAGGTTTGTATAAATGAGTAACTAAATGAGTAAATGAGTAACTGAAATATATCGTTTGTAAGCTTGATCAACCCAATATAGATATTAAGTAGCAAACTTAATAATTAATAGCCTATTAAGTGAATTGACACGATAAACCGAGTTAATATGTATTGGTCAGCTTCAAATTTATATTTTTAGATTCATCAAATCAATATACGGGAAGATTTAGGGGATTCTACGTGTACATTTCAAACACAACACGCATGCAAGATGGCCATTTATGTTTTCATGACAGAAACTACACCAATGCCACAATACCAGCAGTCGCCAACATAACCTGTCCTGTACATGGACAATTTGTCATCTACTATAATGAAAGACCTGCAAAGAACAGTTACACAACTGGACACTCTCTGTATGCTTTTACTGAACTTTGTGAGGTCGAGGTATACGGTGAGTGACATATTATGTTGACTTAAACAAAAAAAAAATAATAGCGTGGGTATATATCAATCAAAAGTATATTTAATTTTATTATTATTTGTAATTCTAAGGTTGCTCAAGTCCTAGACATTACGGATCTGATTGTTCAAAGACATGCCCCATAAACTGCAAAGAATACTGTCACATAGAATCAGGAAATTGTCTTCAGTGTTCTCCAGGTTACAGAGGCGAACGGTGTGAACAAGGTAATTAGACTTATAAATAAAATACTTTAAATCTACTTCAATGGGTATTTATCTTGCCTACCTCATTGTGTATTCCTTTAGAACTAATGTCATGAAGACCTTGAGGAGACGAATATGTCAGAGGCTTAAGTACTCGAGGGTTCAGTAATTTCTTTCACAAAAGCATAATTGCAAGACCATTAGTGTTGAGAAAATAGCAACTATGTAGCATGACTTGAAAAATGAACACACAGATAACCCTTATACACAAACGACCTGAGGTTTTATACGCTGCAAATCGATCTTTTTAAAAAAATGCAAACCCGTTTTTTTTTTTTTTTTTTTTTTTTTTTTGTTGTTGCAAAATGCTTAAAACAAACTGTACAGGCGCGGATTCAGGAATTTTTTCCCGGGGGGGGGGGGGAGGGGGAGGGGGGCTCCATCCCAGTCAAAGAAAAAAAAGTTTTAACCCAAAAATTTCTTGACAATCAAAAAAAAAAAGGTGTAATCCATTTCCCAAACTTGAAAAACACGTATTTCGTTGTGGTGATGAAGGGGTCCACGTTTTCTAGGGGGGAGGAGGGTCCAAAGTCATTTTTTTATTTGCTTCACTATATACTTTTAATAACTCTGCAAATTCCAGGGGGGGGGGGGTCCAGACCCCCACCCCCACCCACCCACCTCTAGATCCGCGCATGCAGTAGATGAGATAACTTTTATTTTGATATGGCGTCAAGTTTAACGTTAATCGTAAGGCGTCAATTGGAAGAGTACGAAAGCCTATTAGGATCAAACTACGGTAAAAAAAAAAAAAAAATAAAAGGCGTTATAACGCGTTATAACGCGAAAAAAGGCGTTATTAGGCCTTTCCAAAAGGCGTTATTAGGCCTTTCTAAAAGGCGTTATTACGCCTTTCTAAAAGACGTTTTACGCCTTTCTAAAAGGCGTTTTTACGCCTTTCCAAAAGGCGTTATAACGCGAAAAAAGGCGTTATTACGCCTTTCCAAAAGGCGTTATTAGGCCTTTCTAAAAGGCGTTATTACGCCTTTCCAAAAGGCGTTATTAGGCCTTTCTAAAAGGCGTTATTACGCCTTTCCAAAAGATGTTATTACGCCTTTCTAAAAGGTTTTATTATGCCTTTCCAAAAGGCTTTATTACGCTTTTAAAGTGGCGTTATTACGCCTTTTAAAAAGGCGTTATTACGCCTCTTTTTTTTCAATACATGACTTACTTGGCCCACCCTGGGGGCTGATTATAATTAGATTTCTAGGAAAATAGATTTTTAAATGTGTAAAATATTTTCAGTGTTAAACCAACTTAGTCCTTCTCTGATGCCAGACGCTTGTACCAAGGTGTATGGATTTCAGAAATTTTGTTGAAGGCTAATTGCTCATTATACCTATGCAAATACTTTGCCTGTTTTTTACCAAGAGGAGAGAAAAATATTTCAAATTTGACATGAATTTTTAATACGTGGCTAGCAAAGCCCAAAGCTGTGTTTGCCTATATCCTGGATTTTCAAAAGTAGAGTGTTGACTTCTCTTAATATGCATGCAAAATGCAAACAACTGTCTGCGAGATGTGCAGGAATATAGGAAATACTATAATTCATAATATAATTTGTAATATTAAAACTATAATCTAAATATTGCATAAATAAAGATGGCTTTGGTTCAATCTTTCATATATCTACTATTTTAAAATAACGCCTTTCCGTTTTTGGATACAACTCCTTTTCAAACAGGCCGGTAGTACGAATGTGAGTGGGGGGGAGGGTGTCCCCCACCCCACTTTTTGGGAGAATAGTCTTGCTATAGTTTAAATATTAAAAAATCATTTATTGATTGCTTGGTCCCTTAACATTTTGTTGCAGTATGGTTAAACTCGGGCAAGTCATTGCATTTTAAAAAAGTTTTACCGAAAAATTAGAAGAAGTTTCCCCTCAAGTTTAGGCAGTTTATTTTTTTTCGGGGGGGGGGGGTTGTTCTTGTTTTTTAGCTCTACTGGTCAGAGACCAGAAGAGCTTATGCGATAGTAAGGTGTCCGTCGTCCGTCCGTCTGTCTGTCTGTCTGTCTGTCTGTCTGTCCGTCTGTCTGTAAACAATTTTTCAAAACGCTACTCCTCCTACAGTTTTGGTCCGATTTCAATATAACTTGGCACACAAGTAGACTACACTAAGATACATAATTTAGTGCATCGGTTTTTGATTTCGATGGACGGTGTTGCCATGGTTACTAAAAATAGAAATTTCTGTGAAATTTCTTTAAAACGCTACTCCTCCTACAGTTTTGGTCCGATTTCAATATAATTTGGCACACAAGTAGACTACACTAAGATACATAATTTAGTGCATCGGTTTTTGATTTCAATGGACGGTGTTGCCATGGTTACTAAAAATAGAAATTTCTGTGAAATTCCTTTAAAACGCTACTCCTCTTACAGTTTTGGTCGGATTTCAATATAACTTGGCACACAAGTAGACTACACTAAGATACATAATTTAGTGCATCGGTTTTTGATTTCGATGGACGGTGTTGTCATGGTTACTAAAAATAGAAATTTCTGTGAAATTCCTTTAAAACGCTACTCCTCCTACAGTTTTGGTCGGATTTCAATATAATTTGGCACACAAGTAGACTACACTAAGATACATAATTTAGTGCATCGGTTTTTGATTTCGATGGACGGTGTTGCCATGGTTACTAAAAATAGAAATTTCTGTGAAATTCCTTTAAAACGCTACTCCTCCTACAGTTTTGGTCGGATTTCAATATAATTTGGCACACAAGTAGACTACACTAGGATACATAATTTAGTGCATCGGTTTTTGATTTCGATGGACGGTGTTGCCATGGTTACTAAAAATAGAAATTTCTGTGAAATTCCTTTAAAACGCTACTCCTCCTACAGTTTTGGTCGCATTTCAATATAACTTGGCACACAAGTAGACTACACTAAGATACATAATTTAGTGCATCGGTTTTTGATTTCGATGGACGGTGTTGCCATGGTTACTAAAAATAGAAATTTCTGTGAAATTCCTTTAAAACACTACTCCTGCTACAGTTTTAGTCTGCTTCTAATATAATTAAGCATACAAGAAGACTATACTAAGATACATAATTTATTGCATTGGTTTTTGAATTCGATGAACAGTGTTGCCATGGTTACTTAAAATAGAAATTTCTGTGAAATTCCTTTAAAACGTTACTCCTCCTACAATTTTGGTCTGATTTCAATCTAATTTGGCACACAGTTAGAATACACTACGATACATAATATGTATTTCTGTTTTTTTTTATTTGGGTGAGTGGTGTTGTCATGGTTACCGGTACTAAAAATAGAAATTTCCGTGAAATACTTTCAAAATGCTACTACTCCTAGTTTTCATTTGATTTCAATATAACTTGTCACAAAAGTAGACTACATTAAGATACATAATTCTATTTATTGTTGCATGTTGCAATGTTTCAAATCCAAGTGCTACTTTTCTTTTGTTATACAAACAGACCAGTAGAGCTACAGTCTCATCAGAGACTTCTGGTTTTTCTTTGCTTGTCAATTTTATGGGACCCCCACCCCCACTTTAAAAGCACGGGCCTGTCAAAGACATAATAATGGCCCTTCAAAAGGCATAATAACGCCTTTTTGAAAGGCGTATTAATGCCTTTTGAAAAAGCGTAATAACGCCTTTTAAAAGGCGTAATAACGCCTTTTAAAAGGCGTAATAACGCCTTATGAAAAGGCGTAATAACGCCTTTTGAAAAGGCGTAATAACGCCTTATGGAAAGGCGTTATAACGCCTTTTGAAAAGGCATAATAACGCCTTTTAGAAAGGCGTAATAACGCCTTTTGGAAAGGCGTTATAACGCCTTTTGGAAAGGCGTAATAACGCCTTTTAGAAAGGCGAAATAACGCCTTTTTTGCGTTATAACGCCTTTTGGAAAGGCGTAATTACGCCTTTATTTGCGTTATTACGCCTTTTTCCGCGTTATAACACCTTTTCAAAAGGCGTTATTACGCCTTTTTTTGCGTTATAACGCCTTTTCATTATAACGCCTTTTAATTCTTTTTTTTTTACCGTAGTTTGATCCTAATAGGCTTTCGTAGAAGAGCGATACGATCCCGATGTATTAAAAAAAGAAATGGCATCACTCGGAGCTCCTCGGGTGGCTCGTGCTTCTCACACTTACCTTGGACGTGAACGTTGTTCTACCATTTTGCAAAAACCATCATGTTATCCATTTCGAAATTCCGCCAAACATTATTCCTTTGAAATCTGAGTTACTTTGTGGAACGCCTAACACTATGTTTCTGCTTTCAAAGACTACTTACAGAAGGTTGTAATCAAAACAAATGTACAAGAAAGAATTAGTCAAGACTGGAAACTTTTTGGTGAACTTTATACAGAGCGAAATATGAAATGAGTTAAAATGCAGTTTCTGCGGGAAAAAAATGCATCGATTTGATGCATATTCCTTCACCAATCACGTCCGAGGTTTGTATGGAGCGTAGCGGAGTCAGCCAAGAATTGCCGATTTTAATGGCATTAGGGGCATCATATGATTATTGTTTCTTTAAAAGCTAGTAGGACTTTCAGTGTTTAAACACATCTGAACATCAAATCCTTGACAAAGAAAATCGAGGGGTACAACTGTACAATCATATGATTCAATCATTTCCATTGAATATAGTAAATTCCAGCAATTTAATTGGAAGGAAACACAACTTCTCTCCTCCTGGACCTACGTAGCATTTTATGTATACGAAATCCTACTTCTTATAATTTGCGCATTTGCAATTACATGTAACTAGTGTTGTCAAATCGGACGATTTTCAGTAACCGGTTACTCCCTTACTTTTCCGATTACTCGGATGCTTTTTCTTTGGACCCCTAACATCCTTACTCGCGGTATATATTCAATTTTACTGTTATATATGTAACGCCGTTACAATTTGGGTGTTTATCATTAATATACCGGCCTGTATAAAACACAAATGCAGTGTATATGTACTT